CAGCCAAGCCGTATCCGCATCTTCTCCGGCTCCCTTCTTTTCAACTCCCGCCGGATTAGCGCCGCAAGGGGAACCATCCCCCCGTCGCCGCCGCCGATAGCCGCCATCTTTGCTCTGGCTTCAAGTAGATCTACGCCGTCGAATCGGCCGCCGCCAGTAGAATTCGGCGCCGCCTTGACATCCCTTGATGCGCGGAGAGGGAGAGAGAGCGCAGCGGGGATGAATTGCTAGGAAGTCAGATCTGAGAGGAGACCAGAAGGGATGGGGAAGCAGAAGACAGAGATTGACGCGGTTTACAGGTGACGCACTGACGAAGTTTTCCGCCTAACAAACAAAACACTTACCGCTTACCTGCGGTGCCCGCATCCCCACTCATCTGAAATGGAAGACAAGGTAACGGCATAATTGAGGAGGCAAAATATTCAAAAATAAAAAATAAAATAAAATAAAAGGTTTTAAATGGTTGTAAAATTTAAAATGGTGAAAAATAAAAACAATTTGGATAATTTTTTTAAAAATTAATTTTTGAATTTAAGCTTATTTATTTTTTTATTTTTATGAAAATAATTTTGAAATTTTCATTACATTTAAACACATCAATTCTTAAATTTACACATCCTAAACATTAGAGCATATTTATATAAATTATTTTAAAAATGGTTTATTTTGAAACACATGTAAATTTATAAAAATAGTTTCTTTTGAAATTCATGTAGAAAACACATAGAGAATCTATATGAAAGGTACTGCACGTGTATAGAGAAATCACAGAGAAAATCTACATGTAGAACACTTTGTTACCTTGCAACAACTTAAAGTGGACACTCATTCGATGTTTGCTGACCGAAGAATAGGGAAATGATGAGTTCTTACGTGAGAGGATATCGATAAGGAAATAGAGAGAGAGAGAGATGGCGAGGGAGATCAAGTGGAACAGAGAGAGAGAGATGGAGGAAATAGTTTAGTAAAATCATCATATAATTATTTAGTAAAAATATATCATAGAAATAAGTTCATTTGATGTATGTTTTGGCCAAAAGATTCATAACTCAATAGATTTGCTTCTAAAATTTTCTAAAGAATTTACATAATATATCTAATACAAATAAAAGCATATTAAAGAACAGACATACTTAAACATTCAAATGTCTATAAAAGCTATGTAATACTCACTAAAAAATTAGGGTTTTCTCAAAGAGGATAATGTCAGTATCTATGTGAGGCCGAACTATTTTCATCTAAGACTGTTTAGAAGTCACGCAACAATGGTGTTGATCCATTTAAAATCTTGAAAATAATTCGACCAAACACATACCAAACACATGTATTATAGCTTTATTAGCAATATCTTTTTATATTTGAATTGATAGTATATAATGAATAATTTATAATACTTAGTGAGCTATTTAATCATTTATAATTTAAGAAATCTCCTTAGATCTAATACATTAAAATGAGGAAAATTAACACTTTTCTAATAAAAATAAATAAAGACTTGACATAAGGGCTATGCATCATGTATGTTTAGGGTTAATTATATCTTATGAATGTTAATTATTGACCAATTTTTAAGTATAAAATAAATTTGGGCAGAAAAAGTTATGATTTCTCAGAAAAAAGTTATGACTTGACATAAGGGCTATCACGAACAACACGAACAATATGTGTTCGTTCGTGTTCGGCTCGTTTTGGCTCGAAATACTACTAATCAATTATATATATATATATATATATCTTTGATGAATAGTATTTTTTAAAAAATTAATTGACTACAAGACTACAAAAATTTATAATCGATTAAACGTATTAATGAAGAAAATAGAATAAAAATTATTAAATTGATTCAAATGATGTTTTAAATCTTGCCCCAATCCTTAACAAAATGACTCTTTGTTCGTGAACGGCTC